TATTTTAGAAATATGTCTAAAAAAAAGAGAGTATGGGCTTTTCATTTGTTTAATGAAAAGAACACTCCTCTAAAAGGACAAGCATGGACAATATGATTAAAATAAGGAGTGATGGCCTTTTGATTAATTTATTCAAAAGAAAGGCATGACTTGAAGCATGGGGAACACATAGGCTTTATGGGCATGGGTTCTTAAAGTGTTAAGAACTTATGGACCAAAGATTTTCTATATAAAGTGAGGCTTTCATATCTTTTTCACCACCCATGCAAAAAATCAAAGTTATGTATGTATGTGTGTTTCTCTCTAGTTTTAGTTGAAGACTTGACGATCACACTCTTGCTTATGCTCTCTTTATCTTCTTATTTTGATAAGAATATAAAGCTTAAGAGTCTTAAGAGTTTTATACAAAAGAACTAGCATTCTACATCAAGTTGATTCATTGTTGGTGTCTCTAAAGTTCTATATTCTTCATCAACATCCAAGCCACCCAAGAGGATCCAAAGAACTACAAAAGGTTGTAATTTTCTTCATCTTCTTCTTTGGTTATTGTTTTCATTCCAAACTTTGCAATAATATCCTTAGTGGGTATAAACTTTGTTTATGTTTATTCTAATTTAAAGTCTTCAGTTGCTAAATCTTATGTTTTTGAAATTAATTTTTGAATAAAAACCCAACATTATAGACAATATAGCAGCGAACTTTATTTTCAATATAAAAATGTACAATAGTTACCATATATATATTATATATATATATATATATATATATATATATATATATATATATATATATCTCAATGTACTTTCCAAAATATAAAACAAATGTTACTATATATCAATGTTCCAAAACTAAACCTATTTTATGTTAGTAATGGACGTGCATGGCATTGTGGTGCATGTTACCCATTAGGGAGGAGGGAGTCCATCCCACTCAACCCACTGCCATATCAACTTTTTGTTATCCTCTCTCTTTCATCTTTCCCAATCCACAATACATGGAAACTCTATCTTTCCTAAACTACTCAACCCACTAAATTAAAAAAATACAAAACAATTAAGGTACAAGTCTGAAAACATATTATACAATAGAAAAAAAAGAGATAGATAGAGAGAGAGGGAGAGAGAGAGAGATGATAGGAGAGGATAGAGAAAGAAAGAAAGAAAGAAAGAAAGAAAGAAAGAAACAGTATGAAGTGGGTTAGTGAAACCACAAAACAACTCAACCCTTCCAACCCACTGAGGAAGGAGTGGTGTCTTAGAGGTACCAGGGGTACAATACCCTCTTTTTTCCATGACTTCATACCCCTTTAGTGTAAGTGTAAGTGGTCCCTGCTAAGTTGGTTACCTTATAAGAGAACATGTGATCCATGTTACCCATTATTTTAAAATGTCGCATTCCTTTTAGTGGAAGCATGTGCTCAATGACCATATAAAAACATCCCTTAACTTTTAGTTACCTTAACTATGAACGACCATATATATCTAAGTGCGGTTAATATTCATATATAGCAATGTACTTTATTGACAATATGGCAGTGTACTTTTTTTCAATATAGAAACATACAATAATTAACATATATAGCAATTTAATTTCCAAAATAAAGCAGATACTACTATCTATCAATGTACCAAAAAGAAACCCGTTTTAAAACATAAGTTGATACCATTAACATAAACTTGTTAAACCTAATAAAGAACCAAAAAATGAGATCAACTGCCAAAATTGCATGATTAACTCAGGTCTTCATTTCCGTAAACTTATATATTGTGATTTATATAAAATTGTCTGCACTTACACATGTCTTCAACAACAACATAAGATTACCATTAGAACCATATTTATATAACTATATGACATCTACCAAGACATCCCAAACATGATCCATCATAATCACTTCTTGATTATCAAGTGGATTACCATCAACATCATAAGAAACACAACCTCAAAGAGATCGGCCATCAACATAACCATACCATGAATTTTCTTCTCATTATACTCCAACATGTGTTGCATATTTAGCACATCCACCCTCGAGATGACAAAGTCTCTTCCCATCCCCTCCTTTATATAATCCACTGCAATATGTTAAGTTGTTATCTTCTTCCCGTGGTCGCAGAAAATCGAGTGCAAATCGGTTATGTTTAGGCCATCTCAGTAAGTTATGGAGTCTGGTGAATGTGGTAGGGTAGCCGCCATGAATAAAAGTGAAGAAAGTAGTATGTGTCTAGAGCTTGCCGAGAAGTGTTTGGTCGAAAAGGGTTAGAAACTATTAGGGTTTGTTTAATACATCCTCCCTTTTGTAAACAAGGGACAACAACCACCGTTAGGGCACAAGAAAAAAACTTAAGTGGACTCGATAACCCAATGACGTGGACTCGGTATCCTAGCAGGCAACTTACTTGGCACGAAAACCTGTTAAACTAGGTAAACGTCCCATTTTAGTCGGTGAACACTAAGGTCGTACCCTTAGAAAGCAAAAAAACAAAACAAAAACAAAAACAAACAAACAAAAAGGGACTTTCTAAAACAAAAGTTATAAGTTCGTTGGGCTATAGTGATATTTTTCCTTATTTTATTTAAAACTTATTCAAATCCCAATATATAATTTCAACAACAATATTTAACATACTAATTACTTATGGCAAAATAAACAACTGACGTGTTTGGTAACGAACGTATAAGAGCTTCTAGTTTCTACCTTTTAACAAAATATTTGGTTTAAATAAAAAGTTTTGTTTAGTAGTACAGACTTTTGGGTTTTAGTTTAAACAAAACGATCCAAATCTAAAAGCTACTTCATATAGCGTTTAAGAAAAAAAAACTTTTGAGCTTTTTAATCAATTTCAAGAATTGTCCATTTTATTTATTATGTTTCACATTTAGCTTTTAAACAGGTGTTTTTTTGTAATTTTACATATGTCAAAAACTTTCAACTATTTTTATAGAACATTTATATAATAAAAATTATAATTTCCAACTATCAGCTACCAACTACCGGCTAGTTGTACCAATTACTTATAACAAAATAAAAGAATGAAAAACAATTGTCAAAAAACATAATAAACATTAAACAAAATGACCACATTACTTGAAATTCCTTTAGGTCGGGAGGAATGGGTCAGCAAGAAACTCAGCACCTGCGACGTGGATTTTGGCATGTCGAGGGTACACCGCCTCCTCTTCTCTACATAAGGCAAAAAAATGTCTTCGCTCGACACAATCTTGTTGGGCCTCTCTCCTCTTGACAAATTTTTGGCTGATATGAGCAATGTTTTGGAGGAGGTGGCAGCCGACATTGTCGAAACCACTCCTCATAGCCTTCAAATGACTGCCAATTGCGTCGTGGGGTTCATTTCATTACAATAATATTATAAATTATGTTATCATAAAATTATAACAAAAATAAATTTTTTTATATATTGAATTTGAATTAATTATGAATATTTGTATTTGTAAGATATGTATTTCAATTATAAATTTTTATAAAATATGTTACCATGTTTTGATTTTTCTAATATATATTTAAATTTTTTTATATGATTTCATTACATAAAGAATAAAATTGATATTATGATTAATTATTATAACTTAATATATAATAGGATATTGCAAATATTAATTATTACATTTAAATTATAACTAGTAGATAAACATAAACTACAAACATATAATCATAAAAAAAAAATAGACTGAAATCGACAATTAAACTTCAACTCTATTTTTGTGCAAATGAATCGCATTATTCCATATTTAGAGTAATCAATAGAGATAAATAATTGGGTTGCAAGTTGTTTGTATAAAAATAATAAGTCATAAACAACTTGGTTTTTATCATATGGATGAGCCCAAGTTTAAAAGTTAGGGCTCTTTTGTAAAAAAAAAAAAAAAAAAAAAAAAAAAACTTTTTTTAAGATGTTTGTCGAAAAAATGTATTTGCTTTCGTAGATTTTGGTCCATATCTTTTTAGAGATAATGCAACACATATGTTTTGATATGTGGCCTTCTAAAAAAGAAACATTATGTGAGGACGTGTAGATGTAGATGTAAATGTCTTCCCACTTTCAAATATAAGTGCTAAAAATAGTTTTTCCAAAAAACAAACACCATCTTTAAGCGTTTTTTTAGAAATTTCCTAATTTCCATACCAAAATGCATTTTGAAATCTCTCTCAATCAAAACATACAATACAACAACGGCTTCAAGTACCCCTAACGAAAACGTAAGAATCAAAGAACTCTCTCTGTTGAGTTTAGAAAAAAACAGTTAAGGATCGTTTAAGCTCAAACAATAATATTAAGTGTTGAATGATAAGTAACATAATATGATCACAACAATATTTAAAGAACAATGCAGAATTAAGAACTATGATTACAGCTTGCAAGCAAAGGAATAATCAAATGAGAACAACACAAGTTCGGCTAAACGATATGACGTATATTTCACTGATAATTAATACATACTTATTTCATATCCCCTAGTAACCATTTTATAGTACAAACATAACTTGTCATACAAAGTGAAGGCATGCTTAGGCCATGAGGTATGGATGTATTTTCACGCATAGGAATTCTATGTGAATCCTACGTGCAGGAGATGTTCGCTAGTAAACACCGCCCCCAATGGGTGTAGTGGTGGTGAGGATTAAAGCTAGTCACGGGTTCTCACATCCAATCAAAAACATTTATCTGTATCTCTCTTCTGGTTCTCTCTTTATCTCTCTTGTTCACTAGTTGTTCACTAGTGAACACCACCCCCAAAAGTAGTAAATGTGTTGCGAAAATGTATGATGATGATGTGGAATCATTTTCACCCGTAAATGAGATGTTCACAACATACCTTCTAGCCTTAGGTTTGGTGGACAATACACATAACTTCACCCTGACAATATATTATAAAAGATTGTACATGATAAATAATTCATTAAAGTACAACTGATGTGTTAGACACACCAAAGTTCTGTCTACATGTCTTCGAGGATGATTCTCTCCAACTTTGTTTCACTCTCCATTTCTCCAACCTTTGCTAACACGCCAAGACACCATCTCTTCTCCAGTCATGCATACTTCACCAATCACAAAATAAGTTATGGGGTCACTTGAAAACTTGTTCCAACATTCTCCCCCAAGTGACCTTAGCGAAGACCTTCTCAGCATCTTCTAAGAAACTTTATAAGTGATCTCCAAAATTTCCTAACTCCAAACTACCAAGTGATTCTTTCAATCATTAACTCTTTCAACGAGGAGTGGCATACTTCGATCTTATAATATCATCGATCACACACTTGGCAAAGTTCACCATCAATGAAAGTGAAGTCAAAAAGCAATGATTCCAAAAACTATAAGAGTGGAATATATGGTAGTTTGAACTTTGAAGTTGGGAGTATTTTTCAGCTTTGACATTGAACTTTCTGGCAATTACATTCAAGTCTTCGGGGTTCATGTCTTTGAAGTCCGCATGAGTGACTTCTTTCCTATTCTTCTGTATGTTGCATAGATAGAAGTCGGCATGTTTAAAGCTTCGTTTTTTTAACGATTTTGTTTTTCCTTTTAGAGTGGTGAATATGAAAGTCTATAAGCCGATTGAACTCTTGGGGATTCTTTTCTTTCAGAAATTCTTTGATCCAACTCTCTAAAGACTTTAGAAAACACTACATTACACGAAGTTAGGATGTCCCAACTATACTCTGACGAAATCAAATCAGTGCAACATAAGACTTGGAAAGAAGATAGTCTTCGTTAATCTCTTTGAACTCTTGCTTCTTGACTGTGTTTGATGAATCCAAAGATGAAATATCTGATTATTCCAGTTTTTGGATCCATAGTTTGCTTCAACATTATTATTATTATGGAAGAGGCGAGAAGTTGGTGAATAGAATTAGGGTTAAGGTTTTGTATAGGATAAAATTGTTGCATATCGTGAAAATAGATGATCATTTTGAAGGAATTTCAGCAAATGTGGCCATAAGTTAAAAGCTTATCCTAATTTTTGGCAATTTTTGTGATTCTCTAAAGGAATCTAGACAAGGATGTTTTTGTCCAATCGAGCAGTTATCACCTTTTCATATAAATAAATCAAAATTGTCGGGTCCAACCATCACTTGAGTAGTTATTTTCCTGATGACGACCATCATGTTCAATTGTTCATGTGGCGAGTAACTCACTTTTGCATTTGACTTGTTGCCATCAGCTTCCATTCAATAGCTCCGTATTAACTGCAACACTTGGGATGATATATCATACCTATCATATATCAAGCTTTATTTACAAACACAGCCCCTAAATTCTAATAAAAGTAGTGCAATTTTCCTCAAAGTTGAAATCACAATATAAAACCTAGCAACTTTTTTATAGTTAAATACATTTTAAATCATAAAACATTATTATATTAAAAAAAACTTACAAAAGTGGACAACAAACCACTATACAAATACACATAATACCAACCATATCTTTTAAACGAATTGCAATACAATTTTGCAGTAGTGTTCATGAGCCATTAAAAGACTAGTAAAACAAAAATGAGTTGTCAAGAGTAGGAACAATATGGATTGCATAGTAATGAATAGCAGTTGGAGTTGGTGGACAAAGAAATCATTGGTAGGCACCAGAAGTCAGCAGATAAAAACAAAACAGAAAAGCCTGTAGATGGGTTTGATACACAATTAACTACAACAAAACAAGTAATAAATCAACAAGAATAGATGATTTCACTAATTTCCTAGCATGTAATTCAATTCTATCGAAGGATGCTTCATGTCTTTCTTAACCTTCAAATTAAGTAGCTATGAAGAAAAACCGCATATCCTGATTCCTAATCTGAGTAGCACTTATTACATGATAAAATGTGCAATGCAGAGTGTAGACTCAACCTAATACAGGAAGGTAAGGCTTGAGCAGAAATGGAGAACTTAATTTCAGTGTAACGAATTGAAGTTTGCACACAAATTCACTCAAATTCACACAAATTGACACAAATAGCCAAATAGGTACACAAGATTCGTGCCAAAATTAACAAGTAACAGAAGCCAAGAAGACGAATCAGTAACAAAAATCAATCAAACAAACAAACAAAGAGTTGCAGATTATACGCAAACTATTTCGAATCTACCTTCTAAGACGAAGAAGATGCCAAATAGCCACCTGCCTCGTCGTCTAAGGACAAATCATTAGTGTTCCTGAAAACAGCGTGAATCACCACAACAGCCAATCCGATAAGAATCGATGAAAGTATATTCATCGTTGCGCCGGTCAACAACAGCAAACCTATCGTCGCAACCGATAACACCACAAGGACCACGCCGTCGTCAATTGTACGGTGGAAAATCACCAGAGGCTCGTCACGGAGGAAGTAAAGGAACAACCAGGCAGCCATCATCACCACGAATACAATCAACGAAACCGGATGCCATAACAGGCTAAGGAACAAAATCACCAGCACGAGTATCGCATAGTTCATACGGAAGTAACCTATGTTTGTTTTGATTCGTGAAAACGCATCGGAGACGCCGTGAGGAAGGTCAACCGAACGGAAATTGAACATCTCTTTCCAGGAACGCCGCGTGCCTAATCCAGATTTTATGCGTGCTTTAGCTCGAGAGAGGTATTCGAGATTTGAACCTCCGCCTGATGACGTCGGAATCGTGCCGTACGTCGTCATTGTCGCCGGTGATCTGAAGAAGGTTTCCGGGAAGGGCAAGGGCGTGGATTTTATTGTAGTAGACGAGTAATTGGGGAGTTCAAGCTGTCGTGTATGCTGGATAACTATTTGCCGAATTGCGACAACTGATGGTATCTTATTAAGGACTAAATTACAAACCGGTTCCTTTATAATCTTTTTTTTTTTTTACGAATTTGGTCCCTATAAAATGTTTTCTTTAATTTGTTAATTCTTAACGATTCTATATTAATCGACTCCTTTTGTAAAAGTGCTTATTTTTTTTAAGTCGACTAGTTTTGCAAACGTTTTTATCATCCAAAAAGCTCACAACATTTGAAAATGAAATTTTAAAAAACTAATAGATGAGCCTTTTTAAAACTAAGTTAATCGACTCCTTTTTGTAAAAGTGCTTATTTTTTTCTTAAGTCGACTAGTTTTGCAACCGTTTTTATGATCCAAAAAGCTCATAAATTTTGAAAATGAAATTTAAAAAAACTAATAGATGATCTTTTTTAAAACTAAGTCTTTTATGGAGCTTGTTAATTAATAACCTCTTGTCATAAGTTTTTTCAATGATTTAGTGAGACTAGTATGTTTTCAATCTTACTCCCATCTAAAGTGGCGGCGATAATTATTACTTTTTCGACGAATGTTTTTTTTCTAGAAAATGGTAATTGCCACAAAATATCTAGCTAATATGTTCGAAAAATTACATGTCCAACCTTTGGATAAACATCATGCCTACATTAAAAAAGAAACAAAATTTAATTGATATTTCCTCCTTAAATATTTTTGTTGATTATTCTTTACCATAATTAGTTTTTGTTAATGAAAAGATGAGGGGTTTGTGCATAACTGATTTGTACATTAAATTATCAAACATATACCTCTTAAATTTCAAAAAAAAAGTTCAATATACTTTATAATATAGTTAATATATAGGATCCCTACAAAAAAAAAAAAAAAAAAAAAAAAAAAAAAAAAAAAAAAAACTCATATTATAGACAAAAAATAAGTTTTTATACGATTTTTAATTCACATATATAGGAGGTGACTGAAATATCTATATCTATATTTATATATACTTATAATAGAAACATTTTTTTTTTCAACAACCTTCATTTGAAAATTTCAACTTTTTAACTTCTTTTTAAATTAATACATTAAGTCCAATATTATTGTAATTTCAATATTAATTCTTTATTCTCACTATAATATAGTTAGTTTGTTAATCTAAATATGATGTTAAATTCAAAACATAATTTTTATAATATATTCAAAACCTTTTTTTTCTAAATAGTTAAAAAGTTTAAATATAAGATCTAAATAAAAGTGTCAAATCAACAAAAAAAAAAGTCGATTAAAATTTACTTTTTATAATAATAATCTTTTCCTCAAACTAGATAGTTTAAAATAAATTAAAAATATTAAAAGCTTAAATATAATATTAAATATAAAACATGTATAAAAAGATAGTTTTAAAATTCATTAAAAATAGTAAAGGTATAAATAAAATGTTAAATATAAAACCTACATCGTAATTCCAAATTCACACACAACCTATAGATATATTTCATTGAAATAATATCACATAAATATGTCTATCTAAATTGAGTTTATTTTTATTTTTATAGGTAGCGACTATTAAGATGATGCGATTTTAAATAAAATAATATGGGATCTATTATTTAATACTCATAAATCCATTACGAAAATAATTTCGTACACCAATGTTTGATAATGTTTATCATTTATTTAAAATACTTAGAATGTTTTTATAATAAACTCGTGTAAGAATTATTAATTTAAAGTTACTAACAAGAATATATTTATTTTAATAACATATATTTATCAATATTTTAATTATAATTGTGCAACGTGCGAAATATCGCCTAGTTATATACTAAACATCAAGAAAGCATGGATTATTCTACACAATTGTTTTCGGTGTTAACGTAATCTCATCTAAAGAGGCAAACACATAGTCATCGACAATCCTCTACAATCGATGATGCAAGCCTATGGTGCATGCTAATTCACTAGGACTACAAACACATTAATCACGGTAAGTTGTTTGTATTATTTCTCGTGAAGCAAACATAATTTGTAGCGAGTTGACCATGGATTGGCGACAAGATAGAGTTCTTTAATATGCTTGTTTGTCTCCTCTTCACAATACTAGAACAATACAAAACACATAAGATTATTAGTGATTCAGCAAAACAGAAAAAAAAAATCAAAGATCATTTATCAACTTACTTGCATATAATCAATGATAGATGTTAGATCATCATATTCATCTCTATTATCTGCATTTTATTCTTCAACATAAATCTTTTAATAAAGTTTTGGCCCATGTTTTGAAAATCAGATCGAATCGGCCGGTTCGACCGGTTCAACCGGAAACCGGTCCCGCATCCGGTTCTTAAAGGCTAAAAAACCGGTATTCATGTGAACCGGTAAAACAGGTCAAAATCGGGAATTTTAAAAAATATTTTTTTTATTTTTTTTATTTTTTGTATTTTTTATATAATTAAAATTAATAATAATGTAATTATGATATCATCCGGTTTTTGAGATTGGTCCGACCAGTTGAACCATCGAACCAGTAAGACGGTCGGTTAGGTCTTCGGTCCGGTTTTCAAAACCTTGGTTTTGACAGTATATTGTGTTTATTGTAGTGATTATTATTGCTCGTCCTCAACGTCTACTATATATACAAAACTATATGCAGCTCGCGAGTTCTTATCTAGCTCATTCATGAGTACCTTATGTACCAAACGGGTGTAAAGTAGTTTCAAAAATAATAAAATTCATGTAGGAGAAATATTAAGCTAAAATTTGAGAACAACGATATCACTAGTTTGCATGGATAATGATTGTTTTTGGGTAAATGGACATTATGCCGTTATTTTGGATATATGAGTCTAAAATTTATGGTCATTTTGATGAATAACTTAAAAAACGAACAAGTCAACTTAATTTCAATCTGTTTCTTATACATGTTAGGGTTAGTTGGGAATTTTGATCTAAGTTCATACAATTTATTATTTATTAATATTTTCATTCGATCAATCGTTGAATAAAATCAACTGAAAATAGGGGAATCGTTCGTTTACCAATGTCAGTAATTGATGATTACATGATTCGACCATTTAATTAAGCAAGTTGGTTTGAATTGAGATTTTTAACTTATTTAATCAAATATTGAACCCGAAAACAAAACAACCAACACACTACCACACGTAAGATCATAAGACCATGTGTTATGGTCACCTTGTTTTTTTGCAGGGAGCTGATGTGGCCCATTTGGACCCAACCCAAAACACTCTGCCACCTGGGTTTGGACCCAACCCAAAACACTCTGCCACCTGGGTCTTAGGGTGTCCCTGCCTTTTGAAGACACAACCTCTAACATCCAAAAAAATACTATATAAAATTTTTTATTTTAAGTCAACCAAAATCATCAAAAGTATAACATTGTGGAAAATAGTTATCAGACTACAATCCCAAAATCACAAATACTAAAGACTGGTGGATGCGACATGTCGGGGTCTTCCCTTTTGATCTGGAAGTACCTGAAAAACATTTAAACATAAATCGTAAGCACAAAGTTTAGTGAGTTCCCTAAAATACCACATATCATCCATACACATCACACATACATATCATACCAGTCTAAAATTGTAACATGTCTATTTCACCCCTGAGTCCCTTCCAACTTGTTGAGTCCCTTCCGACTCTACGATCCCCTTCGGACTCTTTGAGTCCCTTCCGACTCCATCGGTATCTTTCAATTGGCACGGATCTATTTCACCTGTACAGCTAAGCATATAGTCATACTAGCAAGGGTCACCAAGACAGCAAGCACATACAGACATATCAGTAAGTGTCAAGACGACAACTACTATCCTACAACATAATTCAGTGGGACGATATTGGTGCCTTCGACCCACAAGTACAGTGAGGAGACTCACATCAATTTGATGATAAACAAATCACACACTCGAGCTGCTGACACCACAACTCTTCACACTAAACATAATCAAAATTAACCCTAATTAATAACCAGGGTAATGACCCAAAATTAATGGTTCAAATCATATTCTATCTTACTAAGGGTAAAAGACCATTCTACCCTTCCCAATCTTGACCCAACTAATTATGGCCCAAAACCCAATATGACCCAAGGCCCAAAAATGGCCTGCAAGGATTTCTGGGATTACGCCATGCGTACCTCCCTACTACGTCCTGCATAATGGGCTTTAACAGAAGGAGAACTCGGGCTGAATCCGTTACGCCCTGCGTACCAAGAAGGTATGCCCGGCATACTCCCTTGTGCCCAAAACTCATCATTAAGCTCTTAATGCTTAAATACCGAATGTCCAATTCACAAATCTAACTCTTGGGAAGGTCTTAACTGATAAAGTTGGCAACTTTAAGCTTTTGCATACCTTAATAGGGCCCAAAACCAAACCCTAGGTTCATAACTTCACTAAAGGACCAATAACTCATGCATGGTTGGACTATAACCTTCAAGATCCGATCTTTATGACTTAACAATCTCAGAAATGGCTATAAATGATGCTCAAAGATTCTAAAGTAGCTCATACCCACAATATTTAAAGCTATGGGACCAAAACATGCCAAAACTTAACCCAAATCTAGATCTAAACTAAGGAGCCACAAAGTTTAGAGCTTTATACCTCCAGAAGATGCCAGATGAAAAACTAAGTTTGGATCTATGACAAACCGATACTTTTCCAGTCAACAAAAGTCGATTTCGTTAAATAAAATTTCAAATTTTATTTATTTTGTTAAGTTCGTAAGGGTTGGAAAACCATCTAAATTATATAGATAAATTTTAGATAAGTGTCGGGACCAAAATCACGCGAAAAATCAAGTTTTCCTTCAAAAATCAGCTTAGTCGCGTCCAACAGTGCATTTACGGCCGCAAACTCTGGGGCCGCAAACTTGTTTATGACCGTAAACCCACCTCCGACCGTAAACCCAACCGGTATATATATATTTTTCCCGGATATATTCCTCATTTTTCATCTTTTCACCCAAAAACTCTCTCAAATCTCTCCCAATAACCTCCCAAGAACATTCATATCATCAAGATCGAATCTTCAAGTTTTTCACCAAGAATAGCCTTCAAATCTT